TTTAAGTAAAATATTTGATATTTCTCAACAATGCTATACAATTATGATGTCAAAGACTGTTTTGTTACACAAAATATTCAAATATCTCAGACCGTCAAAAGTCAAAGTACAAAATTGCAACAAACTTAGCATTGCAATAACAAAATGATATTTTTATTTAAGTAACTTAAATTAAGCACACACAAGCATTTTCTCAAAAATACTGTGTGACAGATGGCTGCGTTATAGCAAGAAATTATTCTGAATTCTGAGCAACCGCTCATACTGTATATGTTTACTTCAAATTTCTTTAGAGAGAAGTAGACTATTATTTTTCCTATTTATGTTCAAAATAGGACTAAGTGCACATTAGTAGGCCCTAAATACATGTAATGTCTGTTTCACATATGCATCAACTCCACATATGCATCATATGGCGCTTTTCCACTGAATGGTACGGCACGGTACGGCTCGGTACGACTCTAAAACGGTGCTAAACTACAGTGGAAACGCAAACCGAGCTGTGCCGTGCCGAACTGAGCTGAGCCAAGTCGTACCACGCAGTGGAAAAGCGGCAATAGAAGTAATAGAACTCATGACGTCCCAGGAAATCCCTAATATGGACACAGGCATCCAGCTATTGCTGTGACTGAACTACTTTACTACTGACACTGTGTGTTGTACAGCACCAATAGATGGCGGTTATGCTCTGTTTTAGTATGTGATCTTGTAAGAAGACGCTGCGCTGATTCAGTCCATTGCAGGTTCACAAAATAGAATATTGTTGCGCTACACAGCTATTTGCTGGAAAAAGTAGTTAACTACTGGAAAAGTTACATTGTGTTAAAAGTAGCTGAGCTACTGTTAAGCTACTGAAAAATTTAGCTACGTTAGTAGCGTTGCTACTCCCCAATACTGAGCATTATAGGCTACTTTGACCTCCTCATGAAAAGTGTGGAAGATACAGTCATGAAAAAGTGTTTTTTATGAGATTTACACGCAGTAAATGGTGAAAATATGTACAATAAGTAAGATTTTTTTGAACATTTTTTAAAGAAGTCTCTTCTGCTCACAAGGCTGCATTCATTTAATTAGTAAAAATAGCAATATTGTGAAATATTATTGCAATTAAAAATAACTGTTTTATGTTTGAATGTATTGTAAAGTGTAATTTATTTCTGTGATGTAAAGCTGAATTTTCAGCATCATTACTCCAATCTTCAGTGTCACATGATCCTTCAGAAATCATTCTAATATACTGATTTGCTGCTCAAAAAAAAAAAAAAGAAAGAAAGAAAAGAAAACAAATTGTTATTGTCAATGTTGAAAACTATGGAAGCCTGTTTCCACCATGAAATAAAAACATTTAAATAGTTGCGACTTATAGACACAATTCTGACTTTTTTCTCACAGTTCTGAAAAAAAAATATTGTAAAATATAAACTATATATACAAGATAAAAAATAATTTACATTATATTAGAATTTTGACTGTCTTTCTTGCCATTCTGAGTTTACATCTCGTAATCCCATTTTTTTTTGGCATGAAATAAAAAAAAAGTAAAAGCGTAATTGTGAATTTATTTTGCATTTCTGTCTTTTTTCTTGTAATTGAGAGTATATAGCTTGCAATTCTGAAATTATATGTCACAATTCTGACATTTTTCTCAGAATTATGAGAAAAAAATTAAACCTTTTTTTATTGTTTTATCCTGTGGCAGGATAAAACAGTTATGCTGCTTCATATTTTTGTGAAAATTGTGATTATTTTAAAAAGATTCTTTGATTAATAGAAAGTCAAAAAGAACATCATTTATTTGAAAGAGAAACTTTTTGTAACATTAAATGTCTTTGCTGTTTCTTTTAATCAATTTAATGCATCCTTGCTGAATAAAACTATTAATTTCTTGGGGGAAAAAATCGTACTGACCCCAAACTTACTGAAACATTTGCCTGATTTGGTCGCATGCCAGATCTCCATTTCAGTACTTGAGACTATTTATGCATAAAAATAGTACATTATCATTTTAAATAATTTGTGCATAACCTAATTAATATTAATGAGAAAAGCCTTTGCAATTTCATGACATCACACTTCATTAACTTACTGTATGTGCAAATGATAGCCATTGTCATGCCCATCAAATAAAAAATGCATGCCATTCGAATTATCCCACAATTGACTGTGCTTTGAAAGGTCAGTAACAAAAAATTGAAATGATTGAATTCTGTTAAATTTGAAATGATTGAACTCTGATGGGTTAATGCTTCGCACCATCAACATGAGTCATGAGAAATATGGAAGCATATAGGTAGCGAAATTCAATTTAAAATGCAATATGCAAAATGGCAATGCAATGTTCAAAATGGCAATGTATTTCTGTATTTAAATTTACATTTTCCATTACCCATACGTGCAAAGTTTGTTGCAAAAGGAAAATGAAAATGAAATTATATAATTTACATTTGCCATTTCCAACAGTAGTCTTAATATGTAAATTGCATGTTGCGTTGCCATTTTGAATATTGCATTGCCATTTTGCATATCGCATTTTAAATTGAATTTCTCTACCTATATGCTTCCATAGTGAAAAGACCTCATGTATCTGGATTCATGCAGTCAGTGGTTTACAGAAATTTGTTCTGTTTATTCTCAATGCTCAAAGCTTGTCAAGACGTCTCAGCAGGGTGATGCCGCTCAAACGCTCACTGAAACATCATCATTCATGGCTGCAGTGAAGAGATTTAGACCCAGTGAATGAATTAGAGAAATTAGAAAGTTCCTCACACATCGGTTCCCAAGAGCACGAGAATAAAAAAATGGTCTGATTTTGTTTTCTGGCAGTAGAAATGGAAAACAAAAGGTTCTAATTAATCAAAGTGATGCGGGAAGATGTGAAAGGTTGTGAATTACTATTTGAAACCAAAACGTTCAGTCCTGTCGCCCCTCTGTCCACATTTGTCAACGGTTTTCATCTGTGGAGGTGAAAGGTTTCCTGTAAAAGCTCTGCTTCAATACTGCCCTCAGGGTCTGTGTGTGTGTGTGTGTGTGTGTGTGTCTTTAAGTTTGTATTTCTGCTCTCAGTGCTGTTATTTGAGGCTTAAGCTGTTCAATTTTATTAGCAGCATTTTGACTGACCAAACCTGTTCAGAGATGGGCTGTGTTTAAAACCACATACTAGTTACTCCTACAAGCTGACTGAATAAACATTTCACAGATATGCACATTTAAAATTTACATTCATTGGCTATTATGGGAATAGCATGCTACCTTTAAAAAAAAAAAAAATCTGTAATATGTATATTTGTCAATTTTTGCATGCATGCATTGCCGAAATGTGCAACAGAGACCATTGTATTCAATAATGCACTGCCTTCTTGAATTTTCATTTCCATGTGATGAAATGAACTGAAAATCATATTGGCCATTATTTTAAACATTTAAAAAAAAGTGTTTTGCCATTATTTAAAGTTGAAGTAAGCGATTTCCGAGAAACACTGTTGATATTTGAAATCACCAAAACAAACACGCCCCTACCCAAAAGGATCTCGATAGCCCCGCCCCCAAAGTCATGAACATGCTATGCAACACTGGCAACTCCCTCATCATGAGTGAACACGCCCCTTACTGGTGACTGGTTCCAGATGTGTTTTGGTGCTCAGTCTAATCCACTTTCCACAGCGTTTCTTTAATTGGATTGCAAAAAATAAAGCAGATTTACAGAAGATTTAAAATGCACAATAAATGTTTTTCTGGGATTAAAACTGGACCAGGGTTATTTTAGTAGATACTATTAGAGTTTTGTTCAATTAACTTAAAGCACTCCTTTTGATGTGTCCTTTTTTAGGCAATGTTTGAAAAATGCAGTTTTTTAAATTAAATCTAAAAAAAATCTAAATATTTAATGCATTGAATGAATTTTGACACATGTATTTTTATTTTTTATACCATTACTAATTAGCTTAATTTGTAGTTAAGTATTTAAATAATTAACTCTACTAGGCTGTTGGTGTCTGGGCTCATTTATGTATTTATTTATTTTTAAATGACATGAGACTTTGTGACTTCCTGCACTTGCTATACTTAATAGTCAATTTATAATATAATATAATATATCATACTAGTGTTTGAAATATTATAATTTCACATACTTTACTAAATAGAGGAGTATGCAATAAACAGTAGCAAGATGACATGTAGAATATTGCCGTTTTCCATTTAATTTTTCATTGCTTTCATGAACAAATAATTTTATCTTGACATGTTTTTCCTGTAAAGTTTATTTCTTGAGGTTTGGCTGCATATATAATTGACACCTTTCAGATAAATGTGATATAAGCTGTTTTCTTATAACCTTGGATACATACGCTCCCTTCAGCTCCCCGCGGCTCTTTCTGCTGCTTTCCCAGGGTGCCGCGGGTCTGTTGACACAGATGCGTCCTGGGGTCTGAAGTCAGTGGGGTGCTTTCATTCTCCTCTTACAGTTCAAACACTGCTGAACATGATTCTGATCTGGGCTCAGGCAAAGAAAAGCAATGCTCACCCGGGTTTGGGCTGTTTCTCTGGTTCTTAACGACTGGTACTTTTCTCACCGAGCAGAACCAGACATTCAAACGCTCTTAAACAGAGCTGTGAATCTTGTATATGTTGCAAGACAAACTTGTATGTAGATTTTAGTATACTGTACGTTCACAGGTATGTTTGTGTACTGTATGTGTGTGTATTTGGGCTCAGATTTGTGGGTAAACTGAAGGAAATCCCAAAGCTACTTTTCCTGAGAGTAGCTTAAATGTTTCCTTACCGGAAGTGTCAAAAGTTTAAAATGTCCACGTTTTTCAGACTTTTTTTCTGAGTGAAAATTTTGAGTGAAGCCAATCAGAATGTATTTAATTTTTAATATGCATATCCTCTACTGTTCAAAAGTTTGGGGTCAGTAATTTTTTTTTAAGGAAAGAAATTAACTTTACTTAAACTTTTATTCATCAAGGTTGCATGTTTACTTCTTTCTTTATGTTCTGCAGTGCGTTTTAATGGAACTAAAGACGTGCCAACCTGCATGGATAAAAATCATGGCTGTGCCCACATTTGCAGAGAGACGCCCAAAGGAAGCATCGCCTGTGAGTGCAGACCTGGATTTCAGCTCACCAAGAACAGCCGTGACTGTAAATGTGAGTCAAATCAAAGTTTATCAGCAAGATAAATTACATACACACTCTCCATGGGAATAATAGAAGCATTTGAGGGATGCTTTTCTATGGTGCTTTTTGATGGATGGATGGATGGATGGGTAGAAAGAATGATGGATGGATGGGCAGATTGATGGATGATTGGATTGGCAGAACGATGAATGGATGGAATGATGGATGGATGGATGGATGGATGGATGGATGGATGGATGGATGGATGGATGGATGGATGGATGGATGGATGGATGGATGGATGGATGGATGGATGGATGGATGGATGGATGGATGGATGGATGGATGGATGGATGGATGGATGGATGGATGGATGGATGGATGGATGGATGGATGGATGGATGGATGGATGGATGGATGGATGGATGGATGATTGGATTGGTAGAACGATGGATGGATGGATCAATCGATCGATGGAATGATGGATGGATGGACGAATGGATGGATGGATCAACGGATAGATAGATAGATAGATAGATAGATAGATAGATAGATAGATAGATAGATGAATGGATGGGGATGGATGGATGGATGGATGGATGGATGGATGATTGGATTGGTAGAACGATGGATGGATGGATCAATCGATCGATGGAATGATGGATGGATGGACGAATGGATGGATGGATCAACGGATAGATAGATAGATAGATAGATAGATAGATAGATAGATAGATAGATAGATAGATAGATAGATAGATGGATGAAGGATGGA